TGTTGCAATGAACATCCATCTACTTACTTGGTAATTGGTTCACATTCATCTGTGCCATAATTTGTCAGACTTAGAATTACTGGACCACAAGCTAAATTATGATGTCAATTTATCTCATACACATATTTGTCACCTCTCACCAAGAGAACAGAAAAGTAAACTCAAAACACATTGGAAATGATCAATGCTTTGTTGAAAAACAAAGCTTAAATGTTTCTTCTGCATATAGTTTAATGAGAAAGTCTACCACTAAAGGAATTAACATAATTTTAAATGTTTTAAGAAATATAATTTATGTTTCCACAATCTCTTTGAAGAAAAATAAGAAACTACAATTTCTATTTGGCAAAAGAAACCAAAGTATTAATAACAATAACACTAAGACACAAGAAATGTTCTCTCCTAAGTTAGGCCTGGCCTACTTTTATATCCATAAAAGAAATGAGAGTGTACTTTCATTCTTCTGTGAGGTTTAAAAAAAAAAAAATTTACCTAACTCCATTACTCTATGCATAAAACAAACATAGTATGTATTTATTAATAAATTCTAGTCAAAATTTAACAAACTAAGTAGTTTCCTAAATAGAAAAAACTTAAAGAAAAAAACTGAAAAAAACACTAAAATTTCTATTGGAATCTATATTTCAAATATCATTTGAATTATATAATCAGATAATAACCAAAAAAAAAAAAAAAACCTTTCTGGGCTGGGGCTGTAGCTCAGTGGTAGAGCACCTGCCTCGCACATGTGAGACACTGGGTTTGATCCTCAGCACCACATAAAAATAAAGATAGATATTGTGTCCATCTACAATTTAAAAAAAAAAAAAAAAAACTTTCTATTTACTGACTGACCCCCCCCCAAAAAATAGTAAGGAATCCAAAATATAGTTAAAATAAGAATTAAACTTGCATGATATGTAAAACAAATTAGTTTAAAACCAGTAAGAGAACGAAATAATATGAAGGGATGCTATAGCTATAAAACCTCTAGATACTATCATTTCTGTTTTATTCCCAGGTGTTTTAAAAAGCTGTTATTGGCATTAAATTAGAAAACTATTAAGACTTAGACTTTTTATATCTAACTTAAGACAATTAAATATTAGAACAGGAAAATATAAAATCCAATGCAATTTAAAGCTCTTGTATATATCTGGTCTTTGGAAGAAGAGTTATTTTAATTAATGAGCCTTCAACCACCAAAAGGGTATTTTAAATAATGTAACAAAGGCAAATAAAACATAATGACGTCCCTACCTGAACTCCAAAAATGACAATAAGCTAGCTTCCCCATCTACCTTATAAAGTACCTTCCAAATGCTATCACTCATTCAGCAAAATTTACCAAACTCTTTCCAAAAAAAAAAAAAACACCAATGCTCTTCAATTCATGTTATTGAATCATGTACAGGTTTTCAAGTACCTTGTAGTTAATAAAGGAGACATACAAGTAAAAGATTAAGTGTAATAAAATGAATGAAAATTAGTGCTTTATTTACAAAGTACAAAATTATTGAGGAAAATGAGAAGCTTTGCAAAGAAAGGTGGCATCTGAGCTGTGCTTGTGAAGATGATCAAGATTTTGAAATATGAAAAGTGTGGGGAAAATGTAATACACTAGAGTTGGCTACAAATTATAGAAACCAATTCTGGCTAATTTAAGCAGAAAATGAATTTTTTGAAAGAATTTTGTAAAACTGACAGGACGTCTAGAGAACCAGGCTGAATTAGAAGCAGGCAGCTGCAAACTCAACAGTAACCTAATAGACTAGCTAAGATGTGTGGTGACTGCCACAATGAAGGAACTGTCCCTGCTTCAAGATTCAGAGCCTAATAAAGAACATTATTGCATCAACTGGTAAAAGCTCTATATGATTAGATGACAGTATTGTAATAATGTTAATTTCCTGTTTTTGATCACTGTGCTATGGTTGTAAGAGATTTCCTTGCTTTTAGGAATACACACCCAAGTGTTTAGGAGCAAAGGGACATCATCAAAACTACCTCTTAATCTTAAAAGTTCAGGGTGGGGAATGGGTGTGAGTGGAGAGAGAGAGAGAGAGAGAGAGAGAGAGAGAGAGAGAGAGAGAGAGAGAGAGAAAGTAGGAGAGAAAGGGGAGAGGGCCAGGTACAACCCATCCAAGCTCAAGTGACCATCTTCCCTTCTGTACTTCTATAGTGAGGGACACCACAGAATCCCACCACCCAGAGATAATCCCTACAGTTTTTATGTGCATTGTCTTGCCTGTCTTCCTTATTTTATAATCAAAAGTATATTTGTAGGGCTGGGGATGTGGCTCAAGCAGTAGTGCGCTCGCCTGGCATGCATGCGGCCCGGGTTCAATCCTCAGCACCACATACAAACAAAGATGTTGTGTCCGCCGAGAACTAAAAAATAAATAAATAAATAAATATTAAAAATTCTAAAAAAAAAAAAAAGTATATTTGTAGAATCCTTTTTTCAAGACAGATTATGTTTCTGGCAATACACAACCATAAAAAAATGAATAAAGGGAAATAATCTATTTTCCCCCACACAAAACACAGATTGTTATGTATCCCTATATGTATCCTTTCAGAGTTTTAAATGCATACATGTACATACGTCATAATTTTCACATCAATATAATAGTGTCTTTTTTAAATTTAAGTCTCATGACATCTTTCCAGTTTTACACGGAAAGAATGTATATCAAAATGTTAACGGTAATTATTTCTGGGTGATGATATTAACAGTAATTTCTATTTTCTTCTTGATAATTTTCTCTTAACAGCAGAAAAGATGAAAAATTTAATCCCAGGATATAACCTTTAACCTTAGGACATGACTTCCAAACTCTGATATAAAAGAGGAGGAAAAGAAACAAGAGGAAAGGACCTGAGAGGTCACCAATCTAAAATGTTATGAAAGAATAACCTTTCCTACATCCCTTCATCCAGCTGTGGCTGAAAACAGGATGATGTGTTAAGATTGGTAGCAATGATGGCAACTGCAGCTATCTTTATGTCCCAGGCTCTGTGCTGAGCATAGACATACACTGACACATCTAATCATGACACCACAACATGAGAAAATACTAAAAGAAAACATAAGATGGAATTTTAGGACTATTCCAACAAGGGATAAAAGCCTAAATTTTTAATACAATGGGTTACAATACCAGCATAAATTAAAAAGTCATATCATTGTTTTTCTAAATGATTTACCATAATTTTATTTAATATAGTTCAACAGAGATGAATAAAGCAGGACCTTCACTCACTGAACTGAATAAATTAAACACATTTATTAATAAAGGCTTTGTTCCAGATACTGTAGTTAGTATCAAAGGTCCCATTACTATAATTACTACTAAAGCCTGATCCTTACAGCCAAGTTGCATCCACAGTATTTTGTCTTCAGTAAAGGTGCAAGGGGTTCACTACAATGTTAAGACATAAAACAGAGTGGATTCAAGGGCTGCTTGATTAAATCCCAGCTCTCCCACTGCCTATGAAAGCTGAGGCAAATCAGTTAAAGCATAAAAATTAAGATTGTATGTATATATTGTTTGTATTATATATATAATATATATGTATAAATATTATATAGTATATATGTGTGTGTGTGTATATATATATATATATATATATATATATATATATACACATGTCATATAAAATAGAGTTATTATAAGGACAAAATGTGATAAATAGTGGGCACTAGGCTGGTGTTGGTTTCTGTCATTTCCTTCCTCAAACTGGCAGGTAAGCTGACCCTAAAATTTTTTTCATTACCTCATTCAGGTTTTGCTTGCCTACCTTAATCCTGACAAGGTTAAGGTTTTTACACTTAAATTTAAGTTTTATAATTTTTCCGGCTCCATATGTCTGTATACAACTATCATCTTTAGAGATATCTTACCTACTGTGCCCTTAGGATATTACAAATTTAGAGCTGAGGTGAGAAAGATAGCTCAGTGTACAGCATGTGGCATGGCCCCAGATTGTATCCCTGGGAGTGGGGTGTTGGGGATATTTTGCAAATTTCAGTAATAGGAAATTCTGCCTGAATAAATTTTTAAAAGAATTTTTAATCTATGTCTTACATAAGAATTCAAAATACAAACATAATTTTGCACTACAAATGTAAAAATAACAGAATAGCTCATAAAGACAGTATTCTAACTACAGTAGCTGAGATATGGTAAGAGTTGGCTCATATATATACCATTCCCTGCTCCAATCTGAGAAATTTCCTCTATGAATTTAACACTGATCATATCAAAACTCACACCTGACTGCTGAAACATTCACACACTGAATATTCAAAGAGACAAGGCAAGTAACCCCTGATTACACAGGTAAGTGTAACAGGACTACGCTTTAAAAAAAAAAAAAAAAAAAAAAAAAAAAAAAAAACTCATCTGAACTCGCCCCCAAATGTCTGGAGCATTCTTTCATTCAACTTTATTATTATTATTATTATTATTATTATTATTATTATTATTATTATTATTATTATTATTTGGAGCATTCTTTCATTCGACTTTTTACCATCATCATCGTCATTATTATGCGCCCGCTGCATGCCAGACACTGTGTAGGGAGGAACAAAGCCACCCACCCCTTGGATCCTCAGACCCGGAGCCAAGGTGATAAAACAGCCGGGGGTCTGGGCGTCTACAGACCAAGCCCTGGCCACGCCTCGCCTGCGGGGTGACAGCAAGGGACCCAAAACGCCCTAGACCAGCAGCCAGACGCGCAGCCTCGGCCCTGGGTCGCGAACTCCAGAGCGCGACCGCCGGGCCAAGGCGGAAGCCCACAAGACTTTACTTCCCGCAGGAGGAAGCAAGAGCCACCTCGCGAGCATCTGCGCGCCACCGCCACCCTCGCGTCCGGCGCAGGCGCACCGCTGCCGGCTCGCGCGCACCCGCACACTCGCCCGCCTTCCCGACTGGGCCCCGGCCCAAACAGGCCTGGCTGCGTGTCGCCGTATCCCACCAGCCATCGCTTACCGGCGCGCTAGCCCCGGCGCCGCGGCCTCGCGGTTCCCGGCGGCCTCCTCGCGGGGCGCCTCCTCCTCGGCTGCCGCGGCCTCCGCGAAATCCCCTGCCGCGACCCCGGCGGCCGCCTCCGTCCCCGCCGCCGCCTCTCGCCACCGCCGAAGCAGCCCCGGCCTGCTCGCGGTCGCGATCCCCGCCGGGCCGATCGCGGCCGGGCCGCCGCCCGCGGCCGCCCCGAGCTCCTCGCTCCGCCTGCATCTGGCCGCCGCCGGCCGAGCTGAGCGTGCGGGAGCCGGGCCGCCGCAGAGACGCCCTAGCCTCACCGGAAACGGGCCGCACGGAGCATCCGCGAGCGACAGGCCCCCGGCGGCGGCGAGGCGCGGGGAGTGGGGCCCCGGGTGGACGCGGGGCGGGGCGGCCCGGGGTCCGGCAGGTGGGGCGGGAGCACCGCCGAGCGAAAGCCTGGGGATTCTGTGGGAGCTGCAGTGGGGGACCGGGCCGCCTCAAGGCCAGAGACTGGTATGGGGTGGCGTGGTAAATTAAAAGATGCCCTGAAACGTTTGTATAATAGAACTCATTTGTAAAAGAAAAAAAAAATCCATGTATTTGCATTAGAAAAAGTCTAAACAAGTATATACCAAAATGTTGGTTAAGTGTTCGATTTCCATTGAGTTACATCTGTTTAATTTTCATCTATTTAATTTCCTAATTTTCAAGGATGGAATTATTTTTAAATTATATTGAAATCAATTTAGAAAGGTGTAGGAACCCGGTGGGTTGCCCAACTGCAGCAACTGGGAGTAGGAAACAGATTATAATATGTAGAGAATAGAAGGGGCCGTTAGGTCTTCAAGATAAATTTTGTGGAAATAATCACAGTGGTTGGGAGAATTAAGTGCTCATGTACTCAGTAAATGTAAGCTATACTGTGAAGCAAATGCTACTGAAGCCCCTATTTTTCAGGTACCATAATAGAATATAAAACATTTACTATAGTGATACAGCTAGATAGTGATGAAACTGACATTCTAACTTGGACAGTGCCCTCCAAAGAGAAAGGGAGAGCAAACAGTTGGTTATACAGACTCATGGGAGCCACTTTTAACCTTGTTCTACAGAAACCACATGAAAATAATGAAAACAAGGGTAAAAACGTCAGCCTAGCAAAAAAAAAGGTGTTTTTTTTTTCTTTGCCAGCCTTTGTGGCCTTTTCTTAAACCCATATATAGTTAAAGGTGTTCTTTGCTTCTAATCATCTGCTCTGCACAGACACGGTGCAATGTCCTGAATTTTTTTTTTTATGTCCTGAATTTTTAAAAAATACATTGACCCTACCCTGAGTAGCTCATTCCCACAAGGAAGATAATCCTATGAACAGATTATTACAGTCCAGTGGTCCCAGTGCCGTGAGAGGTTCAAGATCAAGAGCCGAAGAAGTATGCCCAACAAACAGGCTAAAGTCTGTTGGGTGAACAGGAGTTGGACTTTTTGATAAGGAGCTTTTCAGGCTGAGGGGACTCCTGAGGACTGTAAATTTGGAACAATCTTAAAAAATAGTTAACACTTGGCCATGGGCAGTAGCACACACCTGTAATACTTGGGGTTGCTGCCAGCTAGGCAACTTAGCAAGAGCCTGTCTCAAAGAGTGGTGTTGCTGAGTGATAGAACACTTTTCTAGCAGGCACCAAGCACCTAGGTTTGATCCCTGGTACTGCAGAAGGAAAAAAAAAAAAGTAACACTTAGTATTACTGCAGAAGGAAAAAAAAGTAACACTTAGAACACTGTTCTAAGTACTTCCCATATGTCCCCTTTTTTGAACCTCAGCAACCCTATGAGTAAACTGGTGTTATAACATCTAAAACACTGATGTTAAATAACTTTAAAGATCACACAGCTAGAAGCTGTGAGGTCAGTGGTAGAGCACTTGCTTAGCATGTGTGAGGCCCTGAGTTTTGATCCTTCATTCTTTGCATCTCAAAACCAAAATCATTTTCCCATTCTGTGTGTGTGCTCAAGGGGAAGAACTATTGAATTTGAGAACTCAGAATAGGGATGAATATCTTAATCCTGAGTGACATTGGCTGTCTTAATTTCACAAGCAGACAAGAACTAGCTCCCCTCTTCCACAATGTGAGGAGGAAACTGCTATGACAAGAAGGCAGGCCTTCACCAAAAATTTGCAGATGCCTTCTTCTTGGACTTGACAGCTCTCTAGGATTTTTTTTGTGTGGGCACTAATCCCATTTGTGAGGGTCCCACCCTCAGGACCTGTTTGCCTGTCATAGGCCTGATCTCCTAATACCACCACATTGGTGATTGAATTTTAAGTGACTTAGAGGAGACAAACATACTACAGTAAGGAGAAAAGGACATGGAAGAAAGTAGTTGAATATTTACCAGCATACCACTGGTTGGGGTTCCCACTAAAACAGAGATCCACATATTAATTTCATCAATATTTATACAAATCACAATACCTCACATGACCTTGGCACATTTAGAGCTTCATAAAATTTTTGTGGTGGCTTATTCTCTGAGAATGTTTAACAGCATCCCTGGCCTCTCCCCACTAGATGCCAGTGTCAACCCTTCTACCCTAAGTTATGACAACCAAAAATGTCTCCAGACTTGCCAGATGTCCCCTGAGAAGCAAAAATTATGGTAGATGAGAATCACTAGAACAAATCAATGTAAGTATACAATAGTTTTCAAGAAATTTCCAAAAGTATGAGGTTGAAAAGATCATTGGCTTTCAAATTAAGCCAGCTTCATTAGAACACAGTAAGTAAATATGCTTGATACTTTCATTTAGCAGTCAGTAACACTATGAGAAGGTATTTACTATGCCTGTTTGACAGACTTGTGAAGAGTGGTAGTAACACTTATTCGTTTAACATTTCGCACCTGACACTATTCTAAGTACTTTACACATATTCATTTAATCTTCATAATACCCATAGAAAACAATGCCTTTATTACCCCACCACTTTGTCTCCCTACTCTCTAACTTGGGGACATCTCTTCAGCAACTCTCCCTGCATGCCAGTTTTTAACCTTCAGAAGGACAATTCACATTACCATAAAAAACATGTATTATTTCCACCTTTTTCTTTGTAAAATAACTGCCTCCTGATCCAGTTTTCACTCCATTTCTCTACCCCCATTATAACAGAGCTGCTCAAAAGAGTCATCAGTTCTCCCATCCACTTTCTTTTCCAGGAGGCTTTCACACTATTGCACCGTAACAGTGTATCAAGATTCATTATGAGCTTGGGGCTGGGGTTGTGGCTCAGCAGTAGAGCATTCACCTAGCATGTGCGAGGCCCTGGGTTTGATCCTCAGCACCATATAAAAATAAATAAAATAAAGATATGGCGTTCAACTACAACTAAAAAATAAATATTTTTTTTAAAAAAAGATTTATTATGATCAAATGTAACTAAATCCAATGATCAGGTTTCATTCCTAGTCTTTATTTATCAACCTCATATGATACACTTGATCATTCCCTCCTCCTTGAAACATTTTCTTTTTGTTACTTGCAGAACAACATGCCATCCTTGGAAATTCAAAGATAAATAAATAGTCCTTGTCCTTAACTCTGTTGGGAAGACTTAGGGAATAGTGAAGGGCTTCTGGATGTTCCAATTCACCTATAAATCTGTTGTGGCGCTGCTTCCAGACTTCTTCATATCAAGACACATATAGAAAATGATAATATTTAAAATGAAAATCATGATCTGAGACTGCTTCTAGCAGAGGAGGACAGCCCTCCCCACCTCCACCCCCAGCCTCAAGGTCTGGGAATACAGGATATGCATTAAGTGGCTCCAGTTTTTGCCTTCATGTAAAAAAGTCTCATCTGTTTCCTTGTCCTACACTAACAATGCAATCATTAATGTCCTCCATAACAATCACATCAATTTGGTCTAAAAGTTCAACATTATTCCTAGATCCTCCTTTTTAGAACTAAAAAAGACTAACTCCTTCAGTTCAAGGCCTGTCATGTATCTCTTTTATATGCTCTATAGCATCTAGTACAGTGGTAAAAGTGGCAAATGTTTTTAAAAGAATGTCATGTTACAATCTTGCTGCAGATTCGGTCTCTTCAGAGACATTGAGAAATCATCTCCTAATTGCCAAATCTTTAGATAGCACTTCTACTCTACCAACCAAAAACGGTTAGAGATGTATCTTACTTTAAAGTAGTCACTATGCCTCTTGTAGTGGCACACACCAGTAATCCCATCAACTCAGGAAGCTGAGACAGAAGGAGCAAATTTAAGCCTCGGCAATTTAGCAGAGTAGCTTAAGGACACCCTGTCTCAAAATAAAAAATAAAAATGGCTAGGCCAGGCATGGTGGTGCACACCAGTAATCCCAATGGCTCGGAAGGCTGAGGCAGGAGGATCACGAGTTCAAAGCCAGCCTCAGCAAAAGCAAAGCACTAAGCAATTCTGTGAGACCCTGTCTCTAAATAAAATACAAAATAGGGTTTGGAATGTGACTCAGTGGTCTAGTGCCCCTGAGTTCAATCCTTGGTACCAAAAAAAAAAAAAAAGACTGAGGATGTAGCTCAATGGTAAAGTGCCCCTGAGTTCAGTCCCTAGTATCAAAAAATAAAATAAATTTAAAAATAGATAAATAAAATAGTTACCAAGTCCAGAACATCCCTTTCTTGTACTTTTCTCATTGGAAGTCCTTTCTGATACCTAACCCATTGTTACCACATGTGTTTTAAGCCTACTTGCTCTGGATTTGTTCTTGAAAAGGAAGAGGAGCTCATCAACATTTCCCATAATAATGACATGAGCTTGTTCTGTTGATGTCCCAAAATCAATGGGCTATAGACAAAAAGTTTTCCACTGCAGGCTGCTATAGAAACAAAAAAACACAGCAAGGACAAGTTGAAGCATAAAGCTCTTCAGAGAAAAGGGATTTCAGAAAATCAAGGCCTAAGTTCACTTATGCAAAGCCTCAGAAGTCAAGGCCACTCTCCAAGGAAAGGAATTCATTTAGGACACAGTGTTCACCTTTTGGTTTTTATGTTGTTTTTCATCTATTGTAATTCATTGACTACAAAGAACAAAAACACAAACTGCTAAGGTTGGGAACACAAAACTTTTTATTCCCCTGCTCTCTGTTAATGCTGGCACCCTAGAAATAAACATTCTCTGGACAGTGGGTGAAAAGTAAGGACTTTTACAGTTGGAGTAACCAAGTAAGAGTCCGGATCCCACACCCAGATAACCACATGCATTTCATTTGCCTG